GTTTTTCATTAACATAATTATGATTATTACAAATTGCAATATAAAATTTGCGAATAGACACTTTTTTCTTATTTTACTTCTCTTTTGATTTCCAGATGAAAAGTCAGATTTTTATTAAGTAAACTCAAATGGAGAAGATCTCCTGAGGGCAATGATAACAGGATTAAGGCATAATAACTCAGAACTGTCTAATTTGAAGAACCCATGATGTGGATTAATAATATTAATGAAAAAGCGATTTATATTATTTAAATTTAACATTTTATTGTGCATTTAAAGCAACTTGATAATACACAATAAAAACAAATGATCAATTTAAAGAGCACCGGCTATTATTAATTAAAACATTGGTTGAAGGTGGTGGTGTTGGCAGTTTTCAATCTCTCTTCCGACCACGCCATGAAGAAGCATTCAATTGATCAGAACGCAGTTTCCTAGACAGGATGTCAAATGAGCTTTACAGCTCAGTGAATACACTCATGTTATTGTAAAATATGTGAATGATGCGCAGCAAAGTGTACTTTTATCAGTTTTACCAGTAACATTTACCTTCATTTTTGTAAGGAACTAAAATTTCTGTACAGCCTATCGGACTGGTAGATTTTAAAAGTTTAGTGAAATAATACTTATTGTGTACGTTAATCGTTATTACTTTTTTGCTGGCCCATATATCTGTTAAATATAACCAATTATTGTTTAAAAGAAACGCCTGATATTAAATTATTTGGTCAGAACTGAAATTGTAGACCCGACATATATTCAAAATATGCCGGACAGTCCGCAGGGTTGTTACTGTTGACCCTTTTGAAGCGCTCTTGCGATTGATGTCACTAACATTCCGTCAGTTTTCCTCCTACTTGAATAAATCTCGTATTCGCAGTCAATGAATTGCCAGCCCCAGGTGAAAACGAGTGGCCTTTAAAAATTGTTTTTTTATATATCTAAAGGAGCATTGATAATATATTGGCAAAATTTAATGTATGCACAATACTACTTATTTTTAACGAACGTCATGTTTTTGCAGGGAACAAACAAGTTTAGCACAATAATTTAATACACTTATGCTCAAATTGTAGACAAAATTTACGATCTCTATTAAATGAACTTATTTGATTTTGAATGGATGATGCAAGACTATTAATCCTATAAGTTTAAAGCTCTCGTACAGAAATTAAATTTTGATTGAAACATCATGCCTGCAGTATGTACATGTGAGTACATGTCTGGTAACATATGTTCTTTTTAGGAGAAATTCACAATTGTGCAAAATCAGATATCTAGCATCAGCAACCAAAGGTCTATATAATTTCAAAGCATTTATTTCTATGACTTTACATTTTGCTTTCTGATAACATTGTTCTGTGAATTTCTAACAACGCTTGTATGATGAAACTAGGGTAAATCATATTACTGTCATTGCGCGTTAAATAGGTTATATTTATATGTTATCATAAACATTCTAAATTAGAATTATACTGTCACTTCAACTTTATGAAATGATCAAATTCTAAACACGGCTTTTATCTCGGTCTAGTTATCGGTACCATTGTTAAAACAATAATGTAATCTTATGTACATTCTTTTGTTCATAGAACCTGAATACCGTTTTTCATTTATATATGTTTATCACAAATTGCAACATAAAATTTGCTAACACACATGTTTTCTTACTTTACTTCTCTTTTGATTTCCAGTTAAAGTCAGATTTTAAAACAGTAAACTTAAAAAGGAAAGATCCCCTGAGGGGATTGACAACTATAATAAATATAAAGAAAAACTGAGAACTGTCTGTGTTTGAGAACTCATAACATGGTCCTAAAATAGTAATGAAAAAGCGATTTTATAATATTGATTTAAACATTTTATCGTACGTTCAAAACGTTGAACAAGCACAATACATTTATTTTATTATTTGGTCAGAATTGAAAGAGTAGACACGAAGTATATATCAAACATGCCTGACAGACAGATGTATTGTTACTGTCGGCCCTTTTGAAGCGCTTTTGAGATTGACATCTCTAACATTCCGTCAATTTTCCTCTTACTTGTATAAATCTCGTATCCGAAGTCTTTGAATTGCTTACGCCTGCTGCAAAACAAGTGGCCTCGTCCCCGAATAATTGTCCTTTTATAATTGTTTTGTATGCATCTGAAGGAGCATTGCTAATATATTTGCAAAGTTTAACGCATGCACAACAGTACCGGTTTTTTTAACAAACATCATATTTTTTAAATGTTAATCGCTATGACAACTGCTGTTTAAAACTTGATAAGAAATATTGCTAAAATTCAAAACAATTTTTTGATTTGCTGCACCGGTTACGTGTTACCGTGGTTATTCCATATAGCATGGAAAAAGCATTCAGCAAATAATTCAATAAACTTGTAGAACAATTTTACGATCGCTATAATATGAACATATTTGAAATTGAATGGATGATGCAACATTGATAGTTCTATAAGTTTGTGGACAATTTTCCTTTAAGCATTCACATTTGATTGAAACATGTATGCAATTTGCATATGAGTACATGTCTTGTAACATATGCTGTTTTGAGGAGAAATTAGCAATTGTGCAAAATCAGAAATCTAGCATCCCAAACCATATGCCTATATAATCTCAAAGCGAAAATCTGTATGCTTTTACATTTTCTTTCTTGTAAGATTTTTCTGTGAATTTCTAAAAAGCAGTTGTTCTGATGAAACAGTATGATGCAACTAAAGCAAATCGTATAACTGTTATTGCGCTAACTAGCTAAGATTTATTTGTTGTTAAAAAACATTCAAAATTAAAATTATACTTTTCACTTAAAGTATTTGTTATGAAACGAACAAATATAAGCATGCTTTAAAAGTTCTAAAATGATCAGCTAACAGAGGCAACTACGGTGGCACAAAGGTGACATGTGTGTGTGTTTTTATTTATCTCGTGCACACGAGATACTATGTCGTGGCAACGAGAGAGCTATGTCGTGGCCACGAGATACTTTGTCGTCGCAACGAGTTACTAAGTCGTGGCCACAAGATAATTAAGTCGTGGCCACCAGATACTATGTCGTGGCCACGAGTTACTAAGTCGTGGCCACGAGATATTATCTCGTGACCACGACTTAGCTATCTCGTGGCCACGACTTAGTAACTCGTGGCCTCGACATAATATCTCGTGCGCACGAGATAAATAAAAACACACACATTTCACATTTGTGCCACCGTAGGCAATATACAGTGCATATTTGTTTTTATATATGTTCGAAGAATAAAGGGATCAAACGGGAAAGTTTAATAAGAAAACATAATATTGTTCAGTATATTTATGAGTCAGCTCTCTTGGAAACTATGTTACAATGTTATATATCTATTGCATGAACTGGAACATTTTTCAATCACATCTTCATCCTACATTTGTACGCGACAAATCCGCGCCCTACTTGGCAGAAACTATGGTTATTTGAAATGCTTTGACATACTTTGGCTCACGTGGTTTTACAATTGAAACAACTGTTTGCAAATCTTATCTTCATCGCAACTCTGATTCTTTTATACTATTGTTATGAAACAAAGAACTAAGCCAATGAATCAAATATTTTGTTGCTTTATCAGCCGATTTTGCTGTTGAAATGTTCATTATGTTACAAGGCAAACAGTATAAATTCAGCACCTAGTATGTAACAGACAACAGACGAATACAACTTAGAAGTCAGGCCGGTGATACATGTGAGTACAGAATAATATTAGCTTATTTTCACTTTTCTTCTGTAATATTATATATATTGTATATTTGCTTTATTTTATTAAAATGACATTACGCTTGAAACTTGACCATGTATTTGACAATTATTTTATTAGTTCGTTATAGAAACAAGAAATGTTTTTGTTTCGAAACAGCACGTCATGTAAGACCTAGTTGGTTTAGTTATGTAAGGAGGACTTGTCGGAATATGCAAATTTACTTGTGCTTTTTGCTTTTTTTTAATTAGCCATATATATTTGTAAGTAACGGATGACATAGAAATGATGGCTTTCTATCTCGTATGATGACTTACGACTTGAGAATACGTTTGAACAGATGTCAGATAGACACGTTCCTCTTAATAATAATCAATGGTTGTAGTAGTCATGTTTACATAGAAATATCATACTAGAACAGATAAAGTTTGTAACTGTGCTGGTATGCCTTTATTGAAAATGTCATTTTCAGCAGTTTATGTTTATCATATTATTATAATTATTTGATATTTGAAAATATTAAAGGACAATAATAGCTAACGGGTTTAATGTGACTATAGCATAATGTCTTGAAGTTAAGAAAAAAATAAGGCATCGCATTCATTGCCATGGAATCCTTAAAAACAACCTTAAGTAAATCTCTGCAGTTGAAGTATTTTAGCAAAAGATTGACATTGTATATTTTTATATGTTGAATTCTGCTTCAGACAGATTCATGATTGTAAATTTTAATTTATCATATCATTTATGTAAATGCATTATAAATCTATGATTTATTGTTTCTCCATAATTAAAAAAAATGTTTAATGTAAGTGAAATATTTAATTCCAATAAATAAAGGTACATGTAATTCAGTGTTATTATACTTTTCTGTCATTCGGGATCATTAGGTGTTTCAAGTGTTAAAAATCGAGTACTGCTTAATCCAGTGCTAGGGGGCGTGAGGGATTTTGTAATTGTTTTTTATTTTTCATGTACAGACTCAATCAAACCGAATCTGCATTTTATTTTTCTCATGTTATTGTGTTGTAATAAATGCTTCCGAGGGGTCACTTTAGTCTAGATTTGTGTAGTTATATCTTAAATTAAACAGTTATAAGTATTTCATATATATTTGACTGCAAGCACAAAAATAACTTATTAAAAATAGCAAGTTATCATTTATCACAAAGCTTCAATTATTACAAATATGAAGCAGGTGCTGCTTCTGCTGTTGCTGATTTTATTATGATAAAAGTGATGACGGCAATCTAATTTTATTTCAGTTGACAAAAATGGCATTTTTGTTTCAATCTGTTTCCGTATTCTTTGCCTTGATGATGATGACAACTCACTTTGCCATATTTGTTAATGCAGGTATGGAATATCATTTTTTCTCTGATAAGTTTGATGATTATTTCAAATCCATATTCGCTACTTAATTAAGAAAAATACAGTTACAAATGATCATTTATCGTGTTTGATATTTTTGTCGCAAATTCTGTGCCGCAAATCACTTTCGTATTCAGCCATTTTATTATCGATTATCTAGTGCGTTTTATTTTCAACAATATAAAGCATTGTTTTTATTAGTCAATTTCTTTCAACCGAATAGAAATAACATTGAAGTTATTTTGACCCATCTTTATATCACTTATACCAATTGATATTTATGGGTTTTCATGATTTGTTTTTTTTTTGTTTGAAAAAGCTGTATAATTGCTTACAGTCGCTGACTTTTTGATAATTTGCATACTAGTTATTTATATGTCGCTATTTTTTCTATGCACAATTGCTCGTGAAATTTGAATATTTCGATTCTCTTAATCAAATATTAAATTGATATCTAGTGTCCATTATTTTTTCATTATTGAAAGTTACACTATTTCCGTCTGAAAAACTGGGCAATAAAAGTTTTAATATAATCACGTGCATTGCATTTTGGCAATATAGAAATAAATATTTTGAAGCATCAGGTAAATTGCCTTGGAACACATGAGATAATTTTCGTACAGGAGAAGTAAAGAATAAATAAATGAAATACGGCTATTATTATGATTATGAAGATTCGGTCTTAAGCCATTTTTGAATAAAAATGACATTTCCTGGTTAACTTGTTTCTTTTTTATTTCAGCAAAGGCTAAAAATGAAGAAATTCACTCGGTTGAGAAACGAGCAATTGTTTACGGCCGAGTGGCATTTTCTGCCTACCTATCAAGTCGCACGGCGACTCTTAATAATGAAAAGATTGTTTTTGACTCCGAGGTGATTAACGATGGAGAAGCCTATAATAAAAATACCGGTATTTTTACAGTACCGGCTACCGGCACCTATCTATTTGCTTTCCAGTTCGAGGACTGGGAAAACAGTGACCAACAAACGGCGTTCCTGATGGTGAATGGAAATATAATTTCAAGCGCCATTATAAAGGCTCAAGGAAGAAGTACACAGGCAGGTAACACCGTAATTGTCCATCTCCTCAAGAATGATAACGTCTACGTGCAACTAAACCTCGGACAAGTTTGGGGATCTCCTACTGAACATTTCACCACTTTCTCGGGATATCTTTTATATTGAAAAAACAACAAAAAAAACCCAAAAAACAACAACATATTTTGTCATAAGATATCTTTGGTAACTCTGTTATATGCACACTATCTAAATTGTAAAAACACTATCTCATTTAACAACTTGACCATATGGTGTTACATATTCTTGCACTACATTTTAATGTCTTTATTCCAATTGTTATCAAAATAACTAGGTAAGTAAAAGCTAAAAGTAGACTAAGTGTTGCTGTTTTATCCGACCATTAAAGTGATCAGATGGAATATGTTATACAAAATAATAACATTTAAGGGACTCCATTGTGGCTTTTTGGCATGATGGACTGGCGATAATTTTCCAAGACTAATGTTCCACTTAATATATTACTAGCCTTAGAGCTTACGTCCAAAATTGCAGATCATTCGCTCGCTCCGCTCTTCCAGAATAAATATTGAAATTGTGAAAACTGACCCAAAACAGAAAAGCGTTGCACTCAAATCGGTTGAAGAATATCACACAAATAAGATTTTCAATTTATTCCTGAGTATATTTCTTAACTATCGTTTGCATATCCTTTTGTTTTTAACTATGATTTATGCACGAAATTCAAATGTTTTTTTAAAAAGTTTTTAATGCAAACAATGTAGAATTTTGACTTCCTTATAAAATACTAGTACTCTATGATTTACCACTTTCCAACAGACAAAGAACCAACAGATAGATAATTTATATGGCCCAATGTGTTCTTTTTTGGGAAACAATTACAAGATTCTAACAGTTAAAAGATTTTGAGAAATAAAATGACATTTCTGAGGAATAATGAGCCTTTATGGAATACAAAAATAAACAACAAACGTAAGCCTATACTCAAATGTTAATTTTTTTATCCACGCATGAGGAAATAATTTATCAGATAGGTTTTCAAATGTAAGAAAAATAAATAAAAGTTAAGGTAGCTCGCTACTTTCCGACCGAAATATGACAATATCTCAGATCTTGATGATTTTTGTATACAGACATGTAGTTATGTAAGCTTTACTTCTGCAGCATTATTTTATAAATAAACAGCGTTACTATGACGTCAAAGCGCCCTCTATCGGTTGCAGCGAAATTGCGTCTTTTTTATCAATAAACCGATCTGTTCTTATCAATTTTCATCCGACTTCCTTCATTTTAATTTTATAATGTTCAGTAAATGTATGTCTTTGAAACGATGTCTTCCTTGAACATTTGCTTAATACTCTGCGATTCTACGTTATTTTCCCTCACGTTCTGACGTCCATATTTGATGCAAATATCGTGCGATATCGCAATAAAGATTGTGAAATAATAAAAAATCAACACGGTGAATTTTGCTATAATTTTTTTAACATGTAGTGAAGTCATAAAAGAAAATATTTATGCAATAAAAATATAGGGTCAACGCGTAAGATATTTTGCTATTACTATTTGAATATAAAATAAAGGGTGTGTAAAACGTAATGATTTCGGTGACGTCAAATATTTTTCTCAAGGAAATTTTCACGACTTTTTCGATAAATATCATACTGACAGGAATAAAAATGTGTGAAAACCATCAACAACAATAGTATTTAGACATGTTCCGTAAAAATGTTTTTTTAAAAGTCCTGTCAAATGCCTGCATTTCGATGGATATCTTCAATTATATACATGTACAACAAATCAGGGTATAATTGTCTGCAAAAGTTGGTATCAATCTCAGAAAAACTGCAACGTATGGATATAACGGAAATACCTCGAGGACTGAAAGACAATTCAGAATATTGAAAGATATAATTAAAAGGCCACCTAAGTGGAAATTATAAAAACATAAATTTTGCAAAGAATGTCAGAAAAAAAAGAATGAAAAGGCCGGTGCAGTCGCAATGTCATCATGTTATGTGTATCCAGGTACAACATAAACTTCCATGTTATCATATGTAACAATTTTGAATTGCATATATCAGTTAGTAGGAACAGAGACATAGATAACATCTATGTCTCTGGTAGGAAATGAATCAAATTTACGTTTCAAAAATATATGATCAACTGGAAGTAGCAACGATTTGTACGTAAGTCATGATTCACTGGTAGTCTTAATTATATTATAAAATCTAGCAGACATTTAATTCAAAATTTTCTACACGTATAAAAATCTATTTATTAACAGCCATCAGTTATTCTATTTTCTCTCGCAGCTAAATACCCTGCACTAAGCGTGAGACTCAGATTTAAAGCAGGAATCACGCTCTCATGCTATGCCTTTAATTTATCACGTATTTCACATAATTACAGATATTCTTATTTATTTTAAACTAGCTGACTCGCGGTATGCGTTTACTAGCATATCTTTGAGACGACCTGAAGCCGTGATCATTTCTCGATTAGAGACGAAAGATCCGTTGATTTATTTTGTATGTTCAGAAGCGGAGAATTTTGCATATTAAATACAGATTCCCTTGTATTGAAGGCGATTATGTAGGATTCTCAATTTGTGTGATTATGGTTGTGGGAGAAGCTCGTTTTTGTCTGCACATAATGCAGTGCTATGTAGAGCCTATGAAAATAGTGAACTATGCATTTTATGTTTTATATCTTCTTATTTTTTTAATATTAGGTTCAACAGTATTTCAATTATAGCGGAGGGAATTTAACGAAACCAGTGTTTCTCACAGTATCAACTTCTCTTTGGAAATGAATGACAGGAGTCCGAGGTGGACCTTGAAACATTTCATAGACAGTAAACAATTCTAAAGAATAATTTATTAGTACAATACGCAATCGTGTCTTGAATTCATGCCTTCCGAATTCAGCGTAAGACCACTTTACCGATTACAACGTGGCAACAGAAGAAAATTCAAAGTTAAAAACCTGATTATGATCTCCCTTAATAAGGGAGAAGTCCACTTTATTGCTAACATCATAAACACGTGTTTTTGGTGTGTGTTTTGAGGTTGTTTTTTTCTTGTTTTTTTTTATATTTTTGTTTTAAAGCAAACTGTATTGTATTAAAAATTGAACAAGATAACGTCAACAGAATACATTATTCGTATTCAGTGGTAACAAAAGTTGCACAAGTTATTTAATAATTATACTTTGTATTTAATTAAAATATACAGTATAACCTTTACAGAGAAATGCCCTTTGTTGCCTAGAGTGGTTGCTCTACAGAGGTAAAATGTAGTGGAACTCTTTAGAAATAAATAATACTTTGAGGGCCGCTATGTTATACTGTAATGAAAAAGCGGTAATGAATCCGAGTTGAGTAATGGTTATATTGGGTGTTTCACATTCGAGTCTGCAGTTGCGAATATGCTTATATATTTTTTATTCAGTATGATTTTGCTTCCAAAATAGTTTATAGTTTGTCACATAAGTGCTCATTTTCTAATTATCATGACATTTTAATTAGATTATAATTATATAATCTATGTATTGCGCAGACTTAAAAATGGTTAGCAAAAATAAAAATAAAATAAAGGTTTTTGTTTCTTGTACAGTTTGTTTTTAAATATTCTTAAAGGGACTCCACTGAGGTTGAAAAGCCAAACACATAACATTTGAATTTCTTACATGAATGAGCTGGGACACTATAAACAGAAATATATGCGAAGATAGTTAAGAAATATACTTCGAAATAAATTGAAAATCGTATTTTTATGCTTTTGTTAGCCCGATTTGGTTGAAAAGCGTTTAAACGCTTTTCATTTTGAATAATTATTCTGGAAAAACGAAGTGCGCGAATGCTCTGAAATTTTGCACAAAGATTAATGGTCTAAACCTTCATCAAATGGTACATTTATCTGGAAAAAAATATTTTCAGTTCCATGTCAAAAAACCTCAGTGGAGTCCCTTTAACATATTTGAATATTATTTCTGAATTTTATTTATCACTTATTTCGGCACATTTGTATGCATATCTATTTTAATTGTATTTTTACGATGTGTTTTGACACCGAGGCTCGTCTGCCTTTGTGTGATTTTATGAAAGTGTTTCAAGGCTGAATGTAACGTAAAATAAATATTCTACGGGTATAAGCTAAGCGACCTAATATTCTTACTTCATTCATACAGCAATATGTGAATCTTATTTTTTGCGCTGAAACTAGTTTATTCATATAATAATATAACACTTTAACAACATCACATTATAAAATTAAAATTAAAAGATGTATGAGACTGTGTCATGCAAATTAGGAAAGTATTTTAAAAGGGGTTGTCGGATTAAACATTGTAAATGTGCTCATCTAGCGCATGTTTTCAATGAGAAAATAATCAACAATTTAAAAAATATACATTTCATCAAGTCCCTGTGTTGTTTATATAATGTTTGACGTAAGGAAATTGTTATTTGGTATTATTCTTTGAACTCCAACATCTATTAACGTCACCAAAATCATAACGTTTCACTCACCCTTTATTTTATTTTAAAAAAGTAATAGCAAAATATCTTACGCGTTGACCATATATTTTTATTGCATAAATATTTTCCTTCACTATCTCACTACACGCTCGGAAAATTATAGCAACATTCACCGTGCTGAATTTTTATTATTACACATTGTTTATTGCGATTTCGCACGATATTTGCATCAAATATGGACGTCAGAACGTAGATAAATATGACGTAAAATCGCAGTCTATAAAGTAAATGTTCAAGGAAGACATCATTTCAAAGACATACATTTACTGAACATTATAAAATTAAAATGAATGAAATCGGATGAAAATTGATAAGAACAGACCGGTTTATTGATAAAAAAAGACGCAATTTCGCCGCCACCGATAGAGGGCGCTTTGACGTCATAGTAACGCTGTTTATTTATAAAATAATACTGCAGAAGTAAAGCTCACATATTTATATGTTTGCATACCAAAAATCATCAAGATCTGAGATGTTGTCATATT